CATGTTATGTGTTCTGATAAAATGTAGTGTCAGAGTATTTTGTTTATGTGGTAACCATTGCGATCATAGCGAGGGTGCCTGGTTCGCCGGGCAATGGGGAACAATCAGGCGATTCATCGACGGCCTGCCGATCAGATAGTCCTGTCAAAACAGCTGATAGGGCACAGGTAAATTACCACCGAGAGGAATTATGTGATAATGGAAGCTTACAAGATAGAGAAGTATACTGTTCCGAACATTTGTTTCAACGTCATCTAAATTCTTCAATACATCATATTAGGATATTATTGTTATTGTCATTTTTGAAGTTTAATTTTATATATTTCGGATACTGAATTGGAATACCTCATTGCAAGAAACAAATTATTTTAATGAAATTAATTACAGTACAATACAAAGCTAAAACGATGTCTACTAACATTAAACCTAACACTAATATTATGTAATGCAATAATGACCTAAAAACTAGTAGTGTTTGGCATCTTGCCTTAAGTCAAATTGCTGAAACTTTCCGTACCTTAATGAAATATTCGAGTAATATAAAATGTTTTTAAATAGATTATTATAATTATTTGAAGTATATATATAAGTCATGGTTAGAACTTTAGCTAGAATTAGAATTAAAAACCAAACAATTTTTCGATATTTAACTTTTTTTTTTTGAAAATTAAAATATTTTTTACAAATATTTACAAAATCGTCAATATCGTTACAAATATTACCCCAAAAGTAATCGTTTCGTCAACAATAGCAGAAAGTTTTTTAAATCATTCAAATCGGATGCTTAGTTCTTTCAAAAACTGTCATTTTTTGCGCATTTAGTTCTGTATCTCCGAAACGGTTCGACCTGTCTTTACCAAAATCTAATCACCACTTCTCCCCATCATTACGAATCGAATGTTTTTTGGATCATTCAAATAGGTTGATCCGTTCTCTTAAAAACTGACATTTTTAGCACTTTTTGCTCCGTATCTCCGAAACGGATGGAGCTGCCTTTGCCAAAAACTAATCAGCACATCTCCCTATCAATAGAAATCGATTGCGTTTTGAGTTTTTCAAATCGGTTCATCCATACGCCCGAAATCGTCGACGAAAAATTGTCTCTACACATCCATCAATTTTTTCTGGGGTATTCCAAAATGTTCAGAAACCGCTGAAACGTGAAGATATGCAAAAATTTTCATTTTCGATTTTTTGAACATTACTATTACTTACCCTACGAAAACTTTGACTCCGAAATTATTATCTTCAGAAATATTGTTGAATCTTTGATCCTGAAAATGGTGAAATTGACGATCACTCAGTTTTCTAACCTTTAGTGGGAGTAGATCAAAAAGTTATATGTTTAAAAATTGGTCTTTTTATAATCAAATTTTTTATTTTATAATAGTAATTCGACATGGAAGATCAGTTGAAGCGTTCAGGATTATCAATATATATCAGTATGCAATTTTTACTAGGTCACAGGTGGACGATTAATTTTTGAACTTTTGCCAAATACTCATGTGTCCAAATGTGTATTTGACTTAATTAGAAAAGTTTTTTTTTTAACTTATTGTAATTACTATAATAAGATGCTATATTTTTATCATAGTTGGTTTAATTAATAATGTGACAACGACTCAATAATATAATGGTCATTAATTGCTGTATTAAAAATTAATGTTTTAATTAATGTAATTAATGTTTTATAATTAGTAATTATGATGCTAATCGCATCGTCACGCAAGTAGCTCGGGATGACCTAATTTATTTTAGAAGACGATATTTTGTATTTTATAAAGATGTATCAGAAAGCTAAAATATTTAACAATAATTAATGACTTTTTGAAGTTTGAATATTTGTATTTGTAATGTATAACTTAATTAATTCTAATTAATTACTTCAATTATAGTTGTTTATTGCATGAAAAAGATGTAAGATAATTGAAATACATATGTTCTAAATAGGCAATTGTTTTTAGACATAACGGCGTATTATGCGGGAAATTGTAATAAGATAATTGTCTTAACAGTTTTTTATCATATAGGTTGAAAGGTTTATTTTTTGTAAAGAATTTCTAATAAATGTTTGAAATCATTATTATCAATAATGATAATAATAAGGATGATTTTAATCGATGAAATTAACTATTAGTAATCTTCGTTAATAGATAAATCATTGATTTTATGAATGAAGTTATTGAATAAAAATACCATGATGAAAACTTTACTATTCCTATGATATTTAAGTCTACTTTTAATTAATGGAATGCTCTTATTTCTTGTAATAAATTTTCAATAAATATATGAAATAATAATTATTAATTTTAATCAAAGGAATCAACTATTAGTCAACTGAGTTAATACATCAATTCATGTTTTGTTTACAAATGAATTTATAAAACTAAAAGGAATAAAAATATCAAGATGAAAACCCTACAATTCGTCTATATGATGTTTAAGTCTACTACTAACTAAGCGATACCTTAATTTGTTGTAAGGAATAAATAATATGAATTTTAGTCAATGCGATCAATTATCAGTAAATACATGCGTTTTTCTTTGTAGCGAAGGAATACTAGACTAGGTCTTTTGTCTCGGTATGTCGAGCTCAATACCGCCCGTGTGTTTGTGTATGTTTTTATGTATGCATATATAACTGAGAGCGGAAACATGGAAATATACATTTTAATATAGACATTCGCCATAATTAGTCAAGTACATGAATCAAGTGTTCAGATTGTTTTAAATTCCCAATCACGATTTAATAACAGGACGTCAAAGTGATTGCTTGCGAATTTTATATCTGTTATATGATGTACTGAAATCGATTTTTATTGCAGTCGGCTAAAGTTGTTTGCTCTTTGGAATGCTATTTATGTTTTTAGCTCGCCAGCCATTAAAACATCAGGCAGGTTGTAAAATCTGAGCGCGAGCAGAATCATTACCGACTCATAAAACGAACTTGAGATTTCATTACTCGTTGAAATTTTACGTCACCGTTTATGCTACATTAATCTAAGGCCATAATTCATCCTGGATTAATAGCGTATTTGACATGCTATTAAGTGAATAAATAGCATATCTGGACTTTTAAATAGGAAGATTTACAATCGTCTAGTCCATTGCCGTATTATTGAATGCTAATGTTTCTCTTTAATATGCGTTGTTATAAGGTTAATATATAGTATTTAATTATAATGATACGAATGTACGTTTCGCAAGTCTTGCATAGAGCATAGTTATTCTGTGTATTGACCTCGTACACATACCGTTATCTGCATTATTATTTTATTTCCCACCGTAAGGTTTGTTTGTCGTAAATCTATAACTTAATTAATTCTAATGGAATTACCTCAATTATCGTTGTTTATTGCACGGCGCTAAACATGATGTAAAAAAGATGTAAGATAAGTGGCATCTTGTCTTAAGGCGATTTACATGAACCTCCTGATATCCGAAATTAATCGAGTTGATTAACAAGAATTGAAATCTTTGGTTTTTTAAAATGGTTACCATTTTTTTTTCAACTTTTAATTACAAACTAGATCGACTGTTCTCAAACAAATATCAACACAGTTTCAAACTGAAAATTGACTGTTTTATCTCATTTTAGGATTTTTTGAGAACATATGTATATTATATATTAATTTAAAACAGTGAATTACACATGAGACAGAAATATACATTATAAAAAGCAACAGATAATTAAGTAGATATAACTAGGTTGATCTTTGCTAGAAACTATTCAGATTCCCAACTATTATTTTTCAAAGCGTTTTTGATGATAACCATTGTTGATTATAAAGAAAACGATTTGATTTCTTGACGCAAACCAATTCTGAGTTTTTTTAATTTGGCTTTAAAATATTCGAAATTGGTGCACCCGTTTTGAAGACAAATGATTTAGAATGAATTGAAAAATCGAGAAGACATAAAATTAGATCTTATAGTTAAATTTTTAGATCTTCTAGCAAAAAAAAACTACTTCTTCGGAAATTTAACTTAATTTATATAGTAGAAAATTTAAATAATGTATGTACGATTTTTTAAGACATGATAGTCGATATTTTTAAGTTCAATTCAACGATTCATGAATAATTTCTTGATGATTCTGGTATACATATTATAATAAGATGAAGTAAAGGATTTTTATTTGCTAATGTAATAATATTCTTCATGGATTAACGCCAAAAAAATTTATTACCTGAGTTTGCCTTTTCTCATATATTTATATGTAGTATGTGTATGTATGCAGACGTACGTATATCTCATTATAGTTTCCATTAGTCTTATTTTGATTTTTGCCAGATGTGAGAAATGCTGGTTTACGAGATATCTGATTAATTCCAGCTATATACACAACTGATAAAAAATAGATTAAATTATCTTATAGAGTATTCCGACGCAAATTAAAGTGATTTTCTTTGATGCATCATAATTGCGGTTGCGTGATGCAATTGATAGCACGAATATAATTGCATGCGAGAGATATATTCCATGGGCAAGTAAAACTCACATATTATCGAGATAGATATAAAGGTGTCATTAACTTTTAATAAACTTTGCATTTTGATTAAACGGTCTCTCATAATTGGCTTTTATTTCATCAGCTTTCGTGTAATGTAATTAAAGTCGTAAAAACTCTTACAAAACAATAACTTTCTGTGTTATTTTATATCTCTGAACAATAAGAAAACTGGATTTTTCTGACTAGAGATTTATCATCGGGTTTAGTGTACGAGTACAGACATATAGTACAGACGATGGATGTGTTGTATTGTTCATATTTTTCTTTCAAAATCAAAATATAATAATACAATGCTTTAACACCAAAATTTATTGTTGAACTTTATTCTAAGCATATTTTCAACCGTTTAATTGATACACATTCTCAACTAAATGGAACAACATATATATTATTTTTCAAGTTTCAATTATCCACTTTTATTTATATGATGTAGTAAAATTTTTTGTAATGATTTAAAGTATTAACCAATACTTTTCTTTCCACTAGGGATCCGATGGCGGTGGTTCCATGTTTGCATCTGTTCCGACCCCCTCTCCAGTGGCCCCAGCGGCGATTGTGCCGGCGGCAGCAGCGATTAGCAACAAGACGCCCTCTGCTCCGGATCAATCGCAACCGCCTCCGCAACAACAACAACCGCAGCAGCCGCAGTTTACTAACAATGTTACGGTGGCCGTCACGCCGGCGCCGACAGTCACCGCACCTTCGCCTGCGCCCGCCGCTTTGCCGCCACCACCTTATCGAGTACCGTCGATGCAGGTAACAAGAATTATTGAACTAATTAGGCTGATCGATTATAGATTAGTATTGATCGATTACTAGTCCTGCTGAAGTTGTCAATTTAATTAAGCATACGTGTCACTCATGTTTCTAATTTCAAATCTTATATTGTAGCAGATGACAGATCTGCGGCCTAGACACCAGTTTCCCACGCAACAGCAGCAACAACAACAACAAATTAACATTAATGGAACGCTTAGTACGCCGATGCCGCTACTAAATCATAGTGCTGCAGGTATGTTGCGGCCTGCCTGCCCAAAACCAAACACCAAATTACCTGTTTGTACACCGTCTGGTGGTCAGGCACCTCAACAACAACACGTGCAGATGCAGCAGCAAACCTGCTCCCAACCACTCCAAAGCTCTCCTTCCCTTGCTGCGGTGGTGACGTCGCCTGCTTTACCTAATGGCATTATGCACACACCGGGTCCAATGTTGCCAAGTGCTTCCAGTCAGTTGCCAGGTAAAATTGAATTTAATTTGTGTTATTATGACAATATTCTCGTATAACATTAATTTGATATTGTGTATTTGAAGGTTTACCAATAGCAGCGACACAGCCCGCATCTCTTCCTGTGACTTTGCAGCAGCCACAGGTTGCGACGCCAGCCGCGCCACCGCCGCCGGCAAGACCGCCGGGACTTGACGGATCTGCCCAGCAACCTCGAACTAATAGCCCTGCCGTCGCCACTAGTGCTGTTCCCGCAGCAGGTACATTTATATTTTCATACAAGCTTTATATTTTTTCAGTTTTGATTTCCTTTTGTAGACATTTATGTTTTTAATTCGCAATTAAACTTCAATTAATAAATTTCAGGACCAACAGCCTATCCAGGATATCTGCATCCGCCGTTGTATGCACCATACGCGGCATCATTGCACAGTCCTTACCTTCCGGCGATACCTTCACCAGGAAAGTCTGCCGCACCAGTCGCTCCTACGACCGTCGCACCTGCACCTAGTCCTATCCGGGAAAGAGACTGCTTTAGTAACAGGCAAGGATTTTTGAATAAATTTGCGTTCAATTCTTTTTTTCAGTTCTAACTTATTATTTACGTTATTTAGATATTAGTTTTTATACAGTTTTGTAGGTGTATAATAACTTTATATTTTATTCTAATATTAATATGTAACGAGTTTGCATTATATATTTAGGTCTGCGAGTACTACACCACTATCTTCTAATTATGGTCCAGGATCGATATCTGGACCACAAGGGCCTTCCCCTGCGTTGCCTTACAGTAAAGCAGCTTCACCAATTACTGCACCCGTTGCTGTTACCACTTCTAGTCATACTTTCAATAACAAACCTCTCTGGTCCACGTAAGTGTTTTTGTATCTTTTTCTCAAATACTTATATCATAGTGTTGAAATAAGTTATAAATTCAATTTTGATTTTTAGTGTGAACAGTACGGGTCCTATGGTACACCACTTATCGCCAGTTCCGGTGCAGTCTTTAACGCGGCCAACGCCTCCGCCCCAACAGCAGCAGCAGACGCAACCTCAGCTTCAACCACAAATTGTTCCACCGCTTCTATCGCAGCAACCGCAATCGGCTTCACAGCCAATAGTACCTGCAGCAGCTGCGGTTCAGACGCAAGCTGTGGCTCCCCCCGGACCTCTGGCTATGCCTGCGATACCGCCGACAAATGTCTCCACTGCGTCTGCCTATAGTTCACCAATGTTTATCGCACCATTGCCGCCGCCCGCTCCAGTGCCTTCCCAAGTGACGCCCGTACCGCCTGCAGTATCGGTGGCCGCGCCACCGGTCACCACGCCTGTTTCTACGCCGACGGCGCCTCTGCCATTTTCAGCGGAATCACTTTTCCAGTCAAGCAAACGCACAAGGGACGATCCATTCCAGATACCATTAAGTGAGTATCATTTCTATATTTGTTCAAATTATTATAATTTATTTTGATACTACGAAAATAAGTATGTGTTTTTTTTCTTCTTGTACATATTTTAACTAAATGTTATATTTTGTAGATCAAGCAGATATGTTGCGAAGGGAATTAGACAATCGCTTTCTGGCTTCTCAAGATCGTGCTGGAATTGGTGGCGTTGTTGGAGCACCATATTTGCGAACAGAAATGCATCATCATCAACATCAGCATACACATGTTCATCAACACCAACAAGCGCCACCCTCCATCTTTCCTCCTCCTTTGGTAAGAATTATCTAAACTTAATTAAAGAATATATTCGTAATATGAGTATTTTAGATTGACTGTTTGTCATAATATTACATTAGCAAATTGAGTGTTTGCCAAATTATTAGCTTTTAGATTGACTGTTTATAATTATATTATAGTTTAAAGACATTCCGAAGCTAAGTGCAGTCGAGTCGCCGTTCTATCGTTCCAGTTTAGGAATGGGTGTTGGATCTTATCCCAGTTATAGTTCTGGATTACTTCATCCCGGACTTGGGGGTCCCACGCCTTTTGTACCCCCAAGTCATCTTCCTGCATTTACAACGAAGGTACAATATTCAATAACCCATAAACAAAATAATAAACAACAACAACGGTTCAACTTTAATTTTTTATATAATAATTATATTTCTTGTACTTTTTACTGTCATTATTATTCACTAATGTTAAATTATTTGATAAAGAGTAAGAATCTTAAAACTTGAGTTTTTAAACTTGAATTTTTTTTATTAAGAAGGTGAGAATTAATTAAAGATTCTAGGAACAATTTTAACATCATAATAATCAATACATATATCTGGAAATCTATGATATATTAAGCAGATTTTTAAATTATTTTCATCATATTTAATATCACGCACTTATTCATATGCATGCTATACTATAACAAATATTAACTTCATCAGCTGACTTATGAATGCTATATTAATTCATTCCACTTTTTCCTTAAATGTTTGTTAATGAATACCCTACATGCTCGTTCCATCAATGTGAATGCTTAATTTGTTTTAAAATATGCTATGCTTTGCTAGATATATTTTGTTTGTTCATAACACTTATTTTTTCCGCAGCAACCTTCCTCACATTTAAACCTGCCAGCAGATTCCTCAAAACCTAAACAAATGGTATGTTGATAGATAATGTTATTGTGGAACTGTATAGCAATTAAATTGATAATTACTTTTATTGATAATTTTTTTCTTGTTGACATTAATCAACAATTTATAATGTATACTATATAATTTATAATATTAATCATTATTAAATATTTTAATGTAATATATATGCTATGCAGTTCTTACATTAGAATGCATTTGAATTAAAACAAACACTTTTCAGTATTATATATCATTGTGATAACTGTTTTGAAATTTTATTTTGTAATTCGTACTATTTAAAATGCGATAACTTATTAATATTTTAAAAGAAACTAAAATTCGCCATGCCTGAAGTAAGGGCAGAAAAAGTTTGAAAGCTATTTTCCTGACCTGTTGCTGCCTCACGATGGTTCTAAATATTTATTCTTTGTTTAATAATGTTATAAAATCATGTGCTTAACTTCTGAAATACACTCTTGCTTCTCATAAAACCGAAGTTATACATCAATATTATAAGAGATTTTCATCAAACTTTATAAAAATATAAAGTTATCACTGAATTAATATACTAATGAAACAATGCAAATTAACCTTATGCTTAGCTTATGATTTGTTCACAATAAGCATGCTGATTAATCTGCTTCTCATCTCACTATTACTGTATGTTGAGCATCGTCACATATACCCTGTACCTTTTAAATATAAATTTAATTATTATTTATTATAATCAGTATTGAATAGATTTACATTGATTAAATATCTTCATACAGAAATCTGGAAAATGGAATGCAATGCATGTCCGCATAGCATGGGAGATCTATCACCACCAACAGAAAACACCAGTTGATGGAAGTAAAGTTGCTCCTAGTCTTACTCCTGGGACCATCAAAAGCGAACTGTTGCGACCACCTTCTCATCTATTTCCTCCTACGGCTTCTCCTGCAAACGGCCCGCCTCCACCACCTTCTGTGGCTGGTTTAGTGCGCCCCCATGACTTGCCATCAGTGACATATCCTGGTCGGAGTCCTTTTGATCAAGGACCTCCTACTTTATCCGGAGCGTATTTGGGGGCGCCCACATCACATTTAGGTAATATACTTGTTATTTGTTATAATATCATCATACTATTATAGATTCAATTTAGTACATTGTTATTTAATCGTTATATTTTATTGCAGGTGCTGGAATATCACCTTTTAGTAGGTTTGGACCAACATTTGGTCCAAATCCAAATTCTCCATATGCTGGATTGTCACCGTTTGGACCAAGTAGAGAACTTTCTCAGCTCGGAGGCCCTCTTAATTCAGTTCATGACCCTTGGGGGAGGTAAGTGGATTCCTATGATTTTGATAATGAATAGATGGCATTGTTATCAATACTGTATTTGAATTCAACCATTCAATAGAATTATATCAGAATCATAATTGAGAATAAAAAAAATATATTTGGAAATATTCAGTGCCACAAATTATATGTTAGAAACAATAATGTACTTGTAGAATTTAATGTTAGTTTGATTACTAATAGGTCCAATGAAAATATATTGCTTATTGAACATAAAATTCTTAAATCAAAAGGATCAATGAAAATATTTTACTTATATAATGAATAATAATTTAAAAAAATATAAAAAAAATATCTGAATTTGTATCAAATATAACATTTGTATTGATGATAAATGCGAGATATTTTCTTGGGCGCTATTAAATGTTTCCACAATGTATACTCATGAGCAGGCCTCACATTCGCAGCTCGCTACCGAGGGTTATGCCGGGCTACCCGGCTCCACCTGCTGCAAGTCCGTGGACTCTAAAACCAGATCCTGGTCTATTGGAACGACGGGAACAAGAAGAGCAGAGAGAGCGAGAGATTCGCGAGCGAGAAATTCGAGAACGTGAGCGATCAAGAAGAGAAAGGGAAGAGAGAGAAAGAAGAGAACGTGAAAGGGAAAGAGAACGAGAGAGAGAACGCGAAAGGGAAGAAAAGCAGCGAAAAGAGCAGCAAGAACGCGAAAGGGAGAAGGAGCGACGGGAGAAAGAAAGGAGAGATTTGGAAAGGAGAGAAGCGGAACGAGAGCGACTTATGCAACAGCAGCACAGGCTTGCTGTCAGTTCAGACAAGATGGTGAGAGACCGGTCACCTTTAAGAAATGGTTTAACGGACGCATCTGGTGTAGCCGATGTCCGAATAAAAGACGAACCCCGTAAGGACGACGACCCAGTTCTTGCGGCTCGTTACCATCCACACGCCCACCCTCTGCCCGCGCATCATAATCATCCCGCATATTTATCGCAGCGGCTGATGACCGCACCGCCGCCGCCGCAGCCTACGCATCGGTTGCTCCCGCCGCCTCATCTTCCGCACCATTTTGCGCCTCCTTGGCCCGCGACTGATCCCTTCCGTGACCATTACCGAATAATGGACCCTCTGCAGCTGCGCTATAATCCTATAATGGAGGCCGCGTATCGGGCCGAACACGAAGCCAAGATGTACAGCGCGTACGCGGCCCAGGCGCATAATAGGGCCAAGGACCCGAGTCCCGTGCCGCCGCACAGCGCACATGCAGTGCATCGCCTGGTCCCTCCGTCGCTTGCGCACAAGAAGGAAGATGCGCAGCCGCCGCGATGACCGATGCCCCCCGATCATCAGATGTGATAATGGACTTTTTGATAACTGCCGAATATATATATGTAAATATTAGTTAAGCTCCGAAGTGTAAATGTTATTTATTTATTTTAGCTACGCCCAGTACGAGGTATGTGAGTCTCTTGAGTGATCATCCTTATTTTTTTCTAAGATCGATGACCGTATGATATTATAATTATTTGTAGAGAACAAAAATGCAATGTCAATTTTTAATATAAGACAAATATGGATAAGATTATTTCCATAGACTCCATAGATTGTATTTATATAATATAAATGATAAAAAGCATTGTAAAATATAATGTATTTTTTGTAAAAGGATTTTGTATATATTTTTTTTATTTAATATATCTATTAGGATGAATGTGTCAAACAAATCTTTTAACTGAAACTCGTGACTTATTCTGAAAGCAATTATCCAAAGATAACATAAGCCAAAATAGAAAGCATTTATTGAAACCAGTGTTAATTCTTGTCAATACTTTCATGTGTAATTCTTGTAAGAAATGGGGATGATCTCTCTTTGTGTGCAGTGATTTGATTCTTGAATAGTCTGAGAGTGCTTTCAATGTCAGTACAATTAATAAATTTGTTGTTAACTGAAAATTAGGTCAAATGTAAATAAATTCATATAATTTTGATTGCTTTAAGAATAAGGGACTAATTAAGTAATTTGAAAATAGTATATGTGCTATATGACAAAATATTAAAAAAATCAATACTAATGCTAGATTTTATATTATAAATTCTAATGCAATCAAAGTTTCAGAATGCAAGCGAATTATAGTGATTGGTTTTCGGAGACCATATTTATAAATATCATTCTTGTATTTATATCAATAACAAATAAAACCTATTTGTAGAGAAAAATGAAAATATCTTTGTTTTAATTTTTATTCAAGTTAATTTCTATAGAACTCTGAGAATTATTTTGTACTTGTAGGAGGATGTTCTACTTCTTGCTCAGGACATGATTCAAAGTTACCTGAAATGTTATAATCATCATATAAATATATTATAAAATTGAAATATATTTTTCATTACCCAAAATTGTGCGAAGAGTATCAGGATGGGCATACATTGGCAATTCAGATCTATTTGTAAAAATAAAATCGAGCATTCCCTGTTCAACTTTTCGCTGATATTCAGAGCCAATATATTGTTTCAAAATTTGATATTGCTCTTGTTCTGATACCTAAGAATAAATACTTGGAATATATTAAACTTTATTTTATAATATATTCTTCATGTAATACCTTTTCATATTTATGTGTTTCAATGAAGTTAACTGTATCTTCTAGTATGGATTTTCCATGCTCCACCTATAATATATTTATATATTGATGAAAACAAATCCAATATATATTTCAAAAAGTATGTTATAAGCAAAAAATTTTAGTTTCATTAATGAAAAGAAATGCAATATGCAATAATACAATTAAAAAGTAAGAAATGTAAAGAATTACTGTAAGCTTTTGAAGTATTTCCATATTTGCAGCATGTAAGTTTTTAAACTGATCATGATACAATGCATAGGCCCAAGGTTCACGAAAGAATTCATAAAGATTTAATATCATAGCTCTATCAAATCTGAGTAGTAGGTTATTCAACAGACGTTCATGTTTGCCCCATATGCTGACTAAGTTATCTACATCGATTTTCTAATAAAGAAAAAATAATTAGAATTTATTATAATATATAAATGCATTTATATAGATATATTGCATTGGATATATATAACTCAAACATTTCTTCTTTTAAGAAAATAATGTGTTTACGTATTTCGTGAGACAAGTCATATCTGCAACAATATTGTATTGATCCAAATGTAGACGAAAATATCCTTGGTCAGTATAATCAGATTGATCTCCTGTAACTAAACTCTGGCCCTAAAATATATTGCAAATTTTGATGCATGAACTTTTGAAAATGTAAGCTTTTTAAATCACAAATATGTGTAATAACGCCTCTTACATATGTGTCCTGACTCATTTTCGCATCAAGTGGGACCACTTTTCCTGGTTTTGTCACTGAAAGATAATTGAGTGGTCCTGGAAGAATGCAGTATACTACTAAAGGTTCTTCATAAATAGTCACAGTTAATTCCATCCCTGGAATCTTTGTTTCAGTGTTATTGAATGGAATACTTGGGTCGAGCATTCTGACTACACGTTGTGCCAGCTAAATAAACAAGGGTAAAGAATAATTCATAATAAAATGAATTATATCTATAATATAATCACTCAATAGTGATTTTATAAAATTGTTGATTAAACTTATAATAGAAAGCTTAACTTTAAGTGCAAACAGTTTAAAATATATGTAATTTAGACTATAGGCCAAACTTTAATGTATATGACAAATGGTCTCTAGGAGCTTCTGGCAACTCAAGACTGAACTAATATGATTTAAATTATTTAAAATAGCATACATATTATTTATTAACATCATTATATTTTCTCTAAATTTGAAAGCTAATATTTCTATTTTTGATTTTCGCGCTCAGGTTATCAGGAATACCAACCGTATCACAAAAAGTATTGTTGTGATTCAATGTTTTCATAACTCATTTCGCCAGTGTCAAGCGGCCGCGTTGCTTGTAGATTTAATATACTATAAATTAATAATTATGTGATGTCATAAAATAAACCGGGAAATTATATAGTGTGTAAAGTGTATAATCTAATAAATGGAAAGTGTTGTATTATAACATAAAGTTTAAGAACTCAGTTGCTCGTCAACAATTACAATGCAAAGTTAAGTTTATATTTTTTGACAATTGTGAAATAAATATAGAACGAACTAAGGTGTATTCCAGTGAACTAAATTACAATTTATAGTGAGTAGTTATATAATGATATTAGTGTTGTGTTGTGCAAATGTCATCAAGTTGATTTGATGCTTCATATAAAATTGAATTGAGGCTATGAATGGTGGATTGAGTTGTCAATGGGCCGGAATTTGATTATTAATATTGTTAATCGTAAACAAACTAACTTACAAACTGAACTAAATTGCAAATTACAGTTAGTTATGTTATTTTTATAGTTATTTTATAGTCGTTTTGTGTTTCGGACATGTCGTTCCATTGGATTGATGGATTGTTTACAAATTATATGAAGATTACTATCGATGTGCCGGTAAGTGATATTTCACTATATGATGTTTTCAATATTATATATGTTATTGCATTTATTTCGGTATCAAAATTCTTACATTAGCTAAAGGTTTTGTTCTTGCATTGGCTAAGGTTTTGTTCATGAGAGGTTTGGTTGCACGAGAGATTCATAGATGGCGCAAATGTGCTACATAACAAAAGCGCTTACGCTAAAGTTTAGCACTGATGGGGATAAAATAAATCCGATTTGTCGGCTCGTCACTCTGGTTTCCCTTCAGAGCGAATAAATCTTTCGCCTTTTACTAAAGATTTCCGTGGAGGGGAGCACTCAAATGAGTATATAACTCAATTTTTTGTGTGCCCGGCATTTATTTGCTGGGCCAATAATTGAACTAGACTTAAAATAATATACATATATATCTATCTTAATTAATAATAATAATAATATTCATGTAAATTATTATTATATATATATATATATATTATATAGCATGATATTATATTACATAATATATTAAATTATCCTAATGAAATATAATGTTATTATTAATAATAATGTTATATTATGTATTATAATTAAAAGAATTTTTAATCGTCGAACGAAGAGATATAAATTTCATGATAACATATTTCATTTATTTATTACTAATATGTTCGACGTTCAGAAATATTCTTGAAGTGTTTATTTGCAGCCAAACAGTCGAAATTCAAAGCAATGAACAATTTAAGAATTCATTATGTATGTTTACAAAATTACTGGAAGATACAACAAAATATAAATAACATCAATAAATACCAGAAAAAAATACAATATTTCTCTTACTAGAAAACTCAAAGTCAATTAGTAAAAAACCGTGATGGTGTGCAATTTTTATTAACGTTTTAGTTCATTATTTTGTTCTATTTAAGGTTTTGTGTTTTTCATTAATTATTGTGTTTAAGTTTGTATTTTCTTGTTTTGGTATGTTTTGATATTATTTAAATTTTGGTATATCTTCTAGTAATTTTGGAATTTTATAAACTTGTTAAATATTATTTAAAATTTCTAACTTGCTAAATGATGACACACATACATTGTCGAAATGTACATAATAAATAGTTAAAATATTAATTGATTTTATTTCGACTTTTATTGAGATGTAAATATAAATATTTCAAGAATATAATGTTATAAGGTTGTCAAATATCTCCCTTCCGCCTTTTTGTATTATAAACCAAGAGCAAAAAAGCGGAAGGGAGATATTTGACAACCTAATATGTTAATCGTTCATAAATATATTTTAGTGGACGGTGTTCCTAGCTTTTTGTTTATCTTGCAAATCAGCTCAATTTTAACCGTATTTTAGAAAATTTGTGTGACTCAAATTTGCTTTAATGTTTTACTTTTGACTCAAACTATTCTGACAGAAACTGAAATAAGTAATTTTTTGTATTCTTCTCCTTTCTGAGAATAAAATTTGATAAATTTTTTTTGACTATTTCAAGACCTCTAATTGTTTGTCTTGTGAAGATAAATAGAATTCCTTTTTTTGCACTACGAAAACTCGCAATTTTGTTTCAAGTAATTCTGAATCGAATCGGACCGAATTTAGCAAAAGTATATGCATAAATATATGCGACTATAAAGTTTATCCTTTTTTCGTTTTTTTTTCGAAAAAGGCTGGGTCGATTTAAAACATTCAGAAACCCATTCGATGTATCTTGATGAGGACTTGCGTTTGCCAGTTTTAGCTCGCAATTTGTAATCGATTTTATAAATCTAAAAACTGTTCGAAAGATATTGATTGGGAATCGCGTTCATTAGCTCTCATAAGAACATTTATATGATATTAAGTTTCATAAGTAATATCACAATAAAAACTTACATGTGTTACGGAGGACTTTATTATGGAATATTTAGCGAAAAATTAAAATTAATCGAAAACTAAAATAAATGTTGATATTATTTACACGTGAAATTATAAATATCAAACAAAAAAAATAAAAAATACTAAATCCGAATTGGGAATTGAATAACGATAGCCACTCGGCCAATCTACTACTGATAAGGAAAAGCATTGCAAGCCATGCATGCCGCGCGCTGTTAAAATGCAAACTTTAATTAATTTTTATAATTAAACCACTTTTCATAGGCCTCTAATATTTTACCACCGTCAGTTTGGCATCAAATCTACCATTGTGCCAAGTTTCATCAAAATCCGAGACGAGCAGCGCGCGGGTTCTCCTTTCAGTAAAGATCGGCCGGCAGTTTTATCAGTTTCATAATTAAATGTAGAAATTGTGTATAACGATAAACTTTATAGTCTGAAATTTCATACTAAAATATTACAGGCCTACGATAAGTAGTTGAAATATAAAAATTCATCGCTGTAAGCTTGAGCGATTCTAATAAGAATCTATGCCGAAGCATGGATTAATTAATAAAGACCCATTAGTTCCGTGATGTCTCGTAGGTAGCTATTGATTACAGTTGGCGTCTACACTTCACACTTCATTCTTAAACAAGTTCATTTAATTTATACAATTACAGATATTATAAGTATGTTTGAAAGATATACTTTACATCAATTGAAAATCATATTGATTATTTTTTAGTGAAAACTAAAATGTTATTTTCCAAATAAACAGTTGAATATTTTATCTAAATAGCTGAAGCTCAATTTTGCCCTAAAGCTTTAGCGCTGTTTCTGTTTAGCGCTCTTCTATTTCAACACAGGTTTTGAAGGGATAAATGAGGAAGATATCAAAGAAATAATTCAAGAAGCAGCGCAATATTGCAATAAATAATAATGTGGTATTAATTTGGGCTTTAAGAAATAAATATTAGGTTATAATTTTAGTAAAAGTAACATGTTTTTTAAATTTAATACCGAACCAATTTCCTAGCCGTCTTTCCCTAACCCCAATATTTCCATGTAAAGATAGCCTCGTTTAGCGCCGTTTCGCATTGCGCCCTCTTTTGATGGAACGTATGCCCCGCGTTAAACGGGGTATTCCTGTACTTACAAATAGTTATTAATATAAAAAATGTTGTTATTACTTTTCCGCCAATTTCCATGGAGTTATAATGCTCGTGATTGTGCGAATCTGCATAATATTTCCTTGCATACTTTGTCATTCTCCCAGCCGCCCAGATATTCGGATCATTTGTCTTGCAATCATTATCTATCACCAAACGCCCATCGTATACCAGTCCAGCTCGATTTATAGCTACAAAACATTTTAATTTGTCAAAAAATATATTAAGCAATTATATAAAATAAATTACCTAATATATGTATTTACCTGTAAATGTTTTCGTGCTGACCAGTCGCGTGCCGTAGTAAAACATTGCAGCGCAAGGTATATCAGCCATTTTAAATCGCGACTCGAACTTCGCTGAAATAATCATGTTAGTTTCTCTATCCAGCACCCAGGACATGTAATAATGATTCGGGAAAAACTGGATGCCTGTATACTCTATTGATTTTTGCACCAATTCGTCTACCTAAAAGTAATGCTCATTTAGTTTGCGGAACAATTTTATAATTGATTTAAACGCTGAAAGGGATTTAGAGAATTAATTGTATTCACTATAGATATAAATTAATGAAGGCGGTGTTAATGTTATTTTTAAGGAAATTTTGCAAAGAGCAAAAATATATAATTTTTTTATATATCTTTACATTTCAAAGATTTGTGAACAATTTGGAATACCTTAGATAAAATTCATGCTTGTGTGTGAATGTGTGTGAAAATTTTGTCGACGAAACAGCTGGATCTGGCTTAGCGAAAAACTAATCAGCACGTCTCCCCATTAATAGGAATCGAATGTCTTTTGAATTATTATTAACAGTCCATATAGGTATAGATTGCAACGCAAAGCGTAATTCAATATTGTCAAAAAACTTCAAATATCAAATATTCAAAATATATATTCACTAGTTATATTCAAAATAATTTGCCTTAAAGAAATTTTGCCTTAAGGCAAATTGCTAGAACTTCCCGTACCAAAAATTTTTTTTTAAAAAAGATTAATATTTTTAAAAAACAATTAATCTGAAAAAATAGATTTTTGAGAAAGTATACATTTTTGACAAAAATTTCCTTTTTTTTAAAAAACAAAAAAGACTTTTTGAAGAAAAATTTATTTTGAAGTATTTTGGACATTCTGAACTTTTTTTCAAAGCAATCGTACTGCTTTAACTGCATAGAGACGAAATATCAAAGCGCGTAAGCGCTGCGACGCTGTCTAACGGATAAACATTGGTACGGCACCCATAGGAATGCAAACAAAATTTATACTTATTGTTAAAATCTCTATAAAATATCTGATAATTTGATGTGCATATGTCTAATGATCATTTTTGACCGCCAAATGGCATTTTCTTTACTTTTTTTGTTAGATCTCCGAAACCGCTAGACCTGCCCTTATGAAAATTTGATCAATTCTTCATCTTGTCAATACTAGTGAAATGTTTTTTGAATTATTAAAATCGGGCGCTCTGTTTTTGGCACTTTTTGCCCCATATCTTTGGAACGGCTAAACCTGCCGCCGCCAAAAACTAATCAGCACGTCTCCTTATCAATACGAATCGAATGTTTTTTGAATTATTCAAATTGCTTCATCCGTGTTCCCGAAATCGTCGACGAAAATTTGTATCCGCACACACATACATAAACGCACACACACACACACACATACAACCATTTTTTCTAAGGTATGCCAAAATGTTCAGAAACCTCTAAAACGTAAAGATATATAAACATTTTCATTTTCGATTTTTTTGCGATTACTATAACTTGCCCTACGCGAAGTTAACTATCAAGGAAAAAAAAACTTTTGTTATGGGATTTGATACATTTCCGCATTAAGGTAACGGCTGGTTACACATTTTTTGCCTTCTACTTTAGAATCACTTCTACTTTAGTATCACTAAAAAATTCTATACTTTACTTAATTTTGAGTAATGATGGTGGACCTTCAAGCTTCGCTTTATCCTAAATATTTTTCATCATGAAATTATTGCTTTTGGGGAAAGAATTTTTTATATAAAATTCTTTTTATTGGTTTCTAAATATTTCTTTTTTTGAATATCGAAAATAATTACGATTTTAATTTTGATTCTAGCTAAAGTTCTGAAGTTCATTCATAAACTTCAAATAAATAAATTTAGTTTATATAATTCTAAGAAATATTAGACAATGCTCTTTATTTTAATTCCAATCGCCGTCTATACATAAGCTTTAATATTTTGTCTATAAAATGAAGTTATTATTTTACTTGAAAAGATTTAATATTTCTCGAATATTTCATTACGATACGGGAAGTTCCAGCAACAAAAAGTAGTATCTTAGGAATCTGAAAACCAAAATTGTGAGCTGGGTTTCGAGAACTCTAAAATACTTTCATGAAAATGATTTATACAGACTTAATATTGATGAATCGATGTTTATATTAGCAAATACAAAAATACAGTGAATTTAAGTAGATCTACAGATACTAATATTTTACTTGTGGACAATCTTAATCTACCTCTTAATCTGCGTTGGATCTTTTCTTCCCCTGGCTATCGTTTCTAACCCCGCCCATGAGGACAGATGACAAATTTACAAAAATAGAAAAAATACACATTTATATAATTAGGGGTGAACTAAGAATCTTCCCGAACATAGTTCGATAGTTGTTTGTTTGATACGTGTTGTATGCTGATACGTAGTTCATTTGGTTCAGACAGTATAATTACTTAAAGTCACATTGGTTCTTTGTGTCCAGCCATATTCTACCTGTTATGTTTCTGAATTAATAATTTTTAGTAATTTTGATTAATTGTCAACATATTTGGAGATCTAGTAAAAAGTTATTATTCATAGAACTCTTCAGTCGCAGTGACAAAAATTATAAATATTTTATTAACCATACTTACTTCATTATCATTAAATATTGAAACCATACATTCGCTATCACGTTTTGGAAAGCATTCTACAAAATATAAATTTTCTGGATTTATTCCAAATTCTAGAAGTGCGTTCAAGCAGCAGTAGGCTTCTAAAGAATCGCCGTATACTATTACATTTTGACATTGTATGTCATCATCTTCAAACATTTCCTTAAAAAAGTTATAGTTAGTTAGTTCTAAAAATGAAACAGTACAAGATGAATTTAGTAGTAAAAAAATGTATCCATTGTGTATTAAATAAATTGAACTGACTCGATGGTACTTGACCAAATTAAAAAGCTCATTGGAAACTTTTACCCAAAATGTATGGATCACTCAAGTATCAACCAAGAATTGTCTATGAAAATGCATTTTTTTCTCCTTTCTTATACGCTGTAGATTATTTTATTATGCCTGTTTTTTTAAATGAAACCACTGTAATGTATTTTTTTTAGTAAACTGCTAACAATTTCTTTTTTGTTACATATAGATCTAACTATTTCATTTATATTCACTAATTGAAATTAAAAACATTTTGAAATGTAAAATACCCTTAGGGTAAAAAAACATGTACATAATTATATATATTGTATCATAGCCCACATAATGCAATAAAAATTTCAAAACTGAGAAAAAAATAAATAAATTAGAAAAATAAGTTAATTTTTAAATAACCAATCATGTATTCATTATTTCAAGTATTATTCACACAAACTTTTTCCAATTTTCGTGTTGAGCGATTTTATTTATTTATTTATTTATTTTAAATGTGAATTTTTCAAATAAAACTGTTATATGTCGAAAATATAAATTCTTCCTTTAATTTCTACACTATTTAGGTTTTCCATTTTTAGGATGTTAATGAAAATATGTCTTACTAGCTGTAAGCGGCCTTTTGCCCTTAGGGAAGTTGCATAAATTCTCCAATATTAGTAAATAATCGGCATGATCAATAAGAATTTAGAATTTACAACTTTTAAAATTGTGACAATAGAAGTTTGCTTTTGTCATGGTCATAGACCATTTGGAGTAATAACTCCAATTTCAACAATTAAACCTCTTTTCGTATGCCTATAATATTTTAGGATTTTTTAAATAACCATGAACTTTATCAATACGCTAATTTTCATCATAATCTTAAAGAAATTTCATCAAGTTTGTTAAACTATCCTGTGGTTATTTACTAAACTAACCGGCACAATTATTGTTTAAGATGTTCATAGAAGGCGCACATGTGCTTCTAACTAATAGCGTCCGGTGACATACTTCTCTTAAGGGGATAAAATAAATCCGAGTTGTTGGCTCGTCACTCTGGTTTCCCTTCAGAGCGAATAAATCTTTCGCCTTTTACTAAAGATTTCCGTGGAGGGGAGCACTCAAATGAGTATATAACTCAATTTTTTGTGAGCCCGGCGATTTACTTCGCTGGGCCGATAATAATATTTTTAACTTCCCGTAGGGCAAGTTATAGTAATCGCAAAAAAATCGAAAATGAAAATTTTTATATATCTTTACGTTTCAGAGGTTTGTGAACATTTGGCATACCTTAGAAAAAATGGATGTATGTGTGTTGTGTGTGTGTGTGTGTATGTGTGGGTGTATGTATGTATGTGTGTGTATGTATGTGCGGATACAAATTTTCGTCGACGATTTCGGGAACACGGATCAACCGATTTGAATAATTCAAAAAACATTCGATCCGTATTGATAAGGAGACGTGCTGATTAGTTTTTGGCAAAGGCAGGTCAAGCCGTTCCGAAGATACGGGGCAAAAAGTTCCGAAAACGGTAACTCAGTTTTTAAGAGAACGGAGCGTCCGATTTTAATAATTCAAAAAACATTTTATTTGTATTGACAAGATGAAAAATCGATACAACTTTCATGAAGGTAGGTCCAGCGGTTTCGGAGATATAAAGGAAAAAGTAAAAAAAAGAGCCATTTGGCGGTCAAAAATGATCATTAGACATATGCACATCAAATTATCAGACATTTTATAGAGATTTTAACAATAAGTATACATTTTGTTAACATTCCTATAGGTTCCGTACCAATGCTTATGCGTTAGACAGCGACGCGGCGCTTACGCGCTTTATATTTTGTCCCTATGTAGTTAAAGCAGTACGATTGCTTTGAAAAAAAAGTTCAGATCTTCCACAATATGTCAAAATAAAGAAAAAAAAAATTTTTTTCAAAAAAAAAAATTTTTTTTTTTAAATTTTTTTTTTTCAAAAAAAACTAATTTTTTGTCCAATTTATAGTTTCTCAAAAATCTAATTTTTTCAAAGTAATTTTTTTTCAAAAATGTTAATTGTTTTAAAAAATAATAATAATTTTTGGTACGGGAAGTTCCAGCAATTTGCCCTAATGGCACGATGCCCTAATTGCCTTAAGACAGAATTCCACTTACAGCTAGTTTAACTATATATCTGTATCCTCAAACATACCTCTAGAGTTCGTAAAGCAATTGCTGCATCAGTTTCGGTATTTATATAAAATACATTTCTCGGTTGCAACTCCATGGGAGCATTTTTTAATGCAGGAGTTCTTGGATATTGAGCTCCACAAAACAAAAATAGCATGTCATAGTTTACAGCAGTTCCATCGTCCAAAATTATTCGTTTATTATATCTGGAAAAGACATATACATACCAGATTTATTATTTATAATTCCATTTTCTGCAGCAATCAGAATGAACAACATTCTAAGAGCTATTTAGTTTAATTCACTCACATACATAAACCCATATGAAATTTTTGTACTAAATTTTTGTTCAGGTATTCAAAAATGTTAAAGTTAAATGCTTTGAATATTGTCTTTTGGGATCTTTACCATCAACCTTTTAAAAACTGGTGTTTTAAGAAGTTGAGCGATTATAGAATTAGGAGGATCATCAAGTTTTAGGAAATGGTGAGCTACAAAATCTATTGAGATTGTCATTATCGATGATCTACCTTAAAAGTCTTAAAGTTTTTTATGTCTTAAAAAGTTAAAAGTTCTTAAAAGTTAAGACTGGGCTTAATTTAAAGTCGATTACATTTTATTATACCTGTCTATGGCGTTCATTGCGGCCATGATTACATTCGTGTAAGTTCGGAGAGATATACTTCTGGAATAATTCAAGTCATAACGTCCTGAAAATAAATTAGAAGATGCATATTTACCAATATTTATTACCAGAAAACTTACAGTTTATGAAATATTTATCGATATCATTAGAAAAAGCTTTAAATATTTAATAAAAAAAATTAAAATTTCAAAATTTATGTAAAGTTTACTACTTTTCTACGTAAGACTTTAATGAAACATTTTTGAAGATTTTAAAAATATTCTATTAATCAACTTTCCGTAGGGTAAATTACAGTACATAATCGCAAAAAAATTGAAAATGAAAATTTTTATATATCTTTGTGTTTCAAAGGTTTCTGAACATTTTAGCATACCTTAAAAAATTGATGTATGTGAGTGTGCATGTGTGTATGCATGTGCGGATACAATTTTTCGTTGACGAATTCGAGAACTCGGATCAACCGATTTGAACGAATCAAAAAGCATTCGATTCCTATTGATAAGGACACGTGCTGATTAGTTTTTCGCAAAAGCAGGTCCGACTGTTCGAAAGATACGGTGCAAAAAGTGACAAAAATGGTAATTCAATTTTTGAGAGAACGGAGCGTCCGACTTGAATGATTAAAAAACATTTTATTTTTATTGACGAAATGTTCATCTGGTTAAATTTTTGAAAAGGCAGGTCTAGCGCTTTTGGAGATCCAATATAAAGTAAAAAAAATGCAATTTGGCGGACAAAAATGATATTTTATATATATTTTAATAATAAGTACAAATTATGTTAATATTTCTATGTGTTTCGTACCAATGTTTATCCGTTAGACAGCGACACGGCGCTCACGCGCTTCGACATTTCGTTTCTACGCTGCAAACATATCGCGATTGCTTTGAAAAAAGGTTCAAAATTTTCCAAAATTTTCGAAATTAAAAAAAGTTAAATTTTTGAAATGTCAATTTCTAAAAAAAATTAAAATTATCAAAAATTTTTCTTTTTCATAGCTTTCAAAATATTTTGAAGTTTTTTTTAAAAAATTCTAGTTTTTGGTATGGAAAGTTCCAGCAATTTGCTTTAAGCCAAGCACTACTAGATAGCGCGATTGTGCATGAGTGTAAAATTAAAGTAAGAATTATTTCCTTATAAAAATATCCTTAAATTAAATGTTACTTTTAATTTTCATTTTATCTTACCTGTGAATGGAAACATGTGGTCACGAGCAGCATATTCGTTTTTAGAATGTGGGAATCCATGTGGCGACACCACAGTCACATTATCAAATTGGATCCGTTGGGAAGACGGCGAAAAAAATAGTCCTTCTAAAAATGCCATAGCTGTATCTCCAGCACCGACTATCACTATTTGAGTATTTATTAACAACTAAAAAATCATACATTATTGATAAAATAGAATGCATAAAATATCTTAATAATATATAAATATTTATAAAAAATCTTTGAAAAGGTCTGAGTATAAATAATTTCTGGTGAATTGAATATGAACATAATAAATAAAAATAGAGAAAATTCAAGAGAACGAGAAATCTAAATTTGGATTATATATTATGTTTATTCCAGGTTTTATTTAATTACCTTAGTAGAAGCCACGGTTTTATTACCCGCATAATATAAGGCAAATGGTTTTTCAATTCTTGTGATAGCATCTGATGGCATTAATTTACCCAAAGCCACTTTGTCGTAATGGATTTTCTTTCTGGGTTTAATTGGAATCATATTGGAAATGCAGGTGATTAGACTGCACTCTGGTTCCTAAATTGGTAGATTTATAAACATGAGAATGGGCGAAAAAAAACTTTTGCTAAATTCACAGGGTTTGAAAAACTTTCAGTCAATGGATTTTTTGAACTTGAAATTGGTATAAACGGTTTTACACACACAATTGTTAATTTTATTTTTCAATATTATTAAAGCAGAGCTGTTTCGTACGTTTTGGAAAGTTGATAACATAAACTGATTATTATAATCATATTGGTCGAGATTTAAATTTATAAAGAATTTGGTTCCATTTATCTCGATTTTTACACACACAATTGTTAATATCATTTTTCATTATTATTTCATTATTTTTTAACTTGAAATTGGTATGAACGATTTTTACACACACAATTGTTAATTTTATTTTTCATTATTATTAAAGCAGAGCTGTTTCGTAGATTTTGGAAAGTTGATGACATAAACTGATTATTATAATCATATTGGTCAAGATTTAAATTAATAAAGAATTAATTCCATTTATGTCTTTCAGATGCTGTGTAAAGATACGTACATTACACGAATATCTTCTTCTAGAACTTCAAAATAAATTTAACTATTTGTTTTTTCTAAGCCTAGTTTGCTTATTTAAATCTTTACAAAATGGGTTGTTATAGAATCTATTACTTACCTCGACTTCAGGTGGATACAAACAATAATAGAGCAACGAAACGTCGCTCAATCTTATAATTTCCTTCAAGAAAAATTTAGAATGGGGTTGAAATATTGCTCCCAGTACCATATGTCTGAGAATAGCCTGATCTTTGTGATAGGCATAACTTATATGATGATCTAAATTGTAGTGAGCCTTTAAATATTCTGCATCATTTTCAGGCCTAGAAATATATAATGAAAAAAGATAATATAAAGACGCTGAACTATTGAAGACACTTGGTACATTTTTTCACTGTTGTTATATTATGGTTGCAAACGAATTTAATCAATTTAAACCAATTATAGTTGCAATGGAATTTTTCAGCAACTCTGAACAAAAATTGTTAGGTTTTCCGATAATCTGATTTAAGCCAAGTGAGAGGGGTTGGCCGCTCCGAAGCCTTTTTTAACATTTTTTTTTTATTTTTCTCGGTCAATTTTTATTTTTTAATTTCTTTATAATGCATGTATAAAACACAAATATCTAACCTACTACCACAAACCCCTATTTTGTAAGTATCATTATAGTAATTATATCTTTTTTCATAAACCATACGTCCGATCGCCATGAAAATTTGGGAAACTGTCAGGTAAATCCCTGAACAGGTTTCTGGACACTTTGATTGAAGCCAAGTGGTAAGGGTTGACCGCCCCGAAAACTTTTTTTATTTTTTCGGTCAATTTTTATTTTTTTTCATTTTTCTATAATAAGTACATAAAAACACATATGACTCTAAATTTTTAACCTCCTTCCACAAACCCCTAAATATATCTTTATTAATTAATTAATAATTAGTAGACTAGCAGTCTGGTAGACAGGTAAACAGATAAATAGTTAAAGAGGTAGATAGATCCATACGTAAACAGATGAACAGGTATACAGGTATACAGGTATACAGGTAAATTGATTGATTGGTTGAATTGAAAGATATATAAAATGGTAGACTGAACAACTGGTAAATATACGATTATGTATTAGATAAACATGTTGACATTTTTTTCTTTATTGAAAATATAAATTTTATACATCTCAGACAGACGGAAGTGTCTGTTATGTGATATCGTACAAAACTTAACTGTTAAGTTAACGTTAACTGCTAGACATGTAGAAGGGATGACAGGTAAATAGTTGAATAGGTGAATTGTTGGACAGCTAAATTGGTAGACTGATAAACAGGTTGACAAGTATATTGGTGGACAGGTATATTGGTGGACATGTATACTAGTGGTCAGGTAAATTGGTTGACTGACAAACAAGGCTTTTTATAAAAGTTTTTTTTCCGAAGATATTATATCTTATGATCCACTAATTATATTTCTATGAATTGAAGATGGATAGCTGCTGTAACTATCCCTATACCGAATCAATAATTGCTAAATACTTCACAAATTATTATTATCTATAAATAGAAAGTGTTACAACTTACCTCGTGTTTATGGCTAGTTGTAACATCTACCAGGATTAAGTAGTAATGACAAAGGACGAAAATAATACTTTGATAATTTATTCTTTACTTATTTTTAAGAAAATTAACTTATTTCTAAAGTAAGTAATTTTTCTCATAAATCGACGTAAGCTATAATTAGTTAGTAAATACATAGTGTCTCTTGTTGCACAATTTGCATATGTACTTGACGATGCATTGAATTTGATTTGAGATGAATCTCAAATACGATGCATTCCACCCAATCTTCTTTATTTGAATCTGCATACGCTTCACTACATATCAGACGATACCATTATTGATATTGCATATTACAACTAGCCACAAGTATTTTTTCCAACAAAAGTGTGATTTTTTTTACATCTTCATGTAATTTTAAAACAGTTCGAATGAAATACGTTAATTAAATGTGGAGCGATTTACATGACGTCGATGATGATATGCTTCTTGAGTGGACTGTAATTTTAATAATCGGCGAAATGTGAAATCTCCACGATGATTGAGAAAATGAAAGTCCTGTTATATTCACGTTAAATTTATTTAATACTATTTTACAAATACGTCCTTCTTCTTTGACTGCTAATACTAGACTAAATATTTATCCTAATTTCAGGCCCGACGGAATACATTTTATTGACTTGTTTTATAACCTAATTATATGAGCCGTCAAACCTGGGCAGGATTGTTCCCTATTTACGGGATTAACAAAATTTCCTGACCGTTATATGAAATGATATTTTAAAATTTTACGGTTACACCAGATGTTATAAATATTTTAAAGTCAGCTTTAAAAAGAATGAATGATAATAAAATATGAAAGGTATATTTACGTTATTATAGCGACACCGACTAAAGTTCCATTACTGTGGGCGACGAAAGCCCTCAAGGGGCATTGGAATGGTTGCACTTCTTCGAGGTCATCGCAACCCTTTTCCGAGAATGATACCGCCGCCTCGAATTCATCGAGTATGTCCTCTCTTCTCCGGACTGATGATAGTAAGCTTATAAGTCCATTCATGTCACCCATTTCAGCCTCACGCACTATTAATGGACTAGGAAAAAAAAACAAATACATTTTATATTTTGTACATAATAATATTGAGCATGGAGAGTTGCTAAAATGTTGATGATAATCGAAAAAGCATACGGAATACATAAATAAACAAATTGAACACTACTTTTTCTAAAAAATATGGAGAACCTTATTTTCCTTATCAATATGAACTTCTAAAATTTATGAATATGATTATTGCAGATCTTCAAACTGTTGGAAGAAAGTGTTAGGTTTCTCATTAATAGCAACAATTAATATTTTTATGTAATGGCGTTTTTTTTATATTTTAACAGCAATCAGAACTTTACGTCCTATAAGCTGGGCTGAAATTTCTCCTTACGGCGTATTATATGGTAACCCAAAGGTTGATCCATCCATACTTGATTATATTTTTATTAAAAATGATATAATAAGGATGACTTATTATTAAATTTGGTGTAGCAATGCCCGGGAAAGGCTATTTTTACTTTGGAAACAAATTTGAGATCTATATTCCAAGGTAAAACTGATACTGCTCCATATCAGGTTTGTTCTTGATGGGGATTGAACCCGCGATCCACCTCATTGCAAAGTAATTTGCAAATAATGAGTAAGTATAGTGGCAAATTAATGAGTGTATAGTTCAAGAATGATAAATTGCAACTATTAAATTACATCTTACCAAAGAATAGTATTTTTATGTGTAATATATAGTTCATGATCAAAAGTTTTCACAGTTCGTGGAGTTGCTTTCTGCAAGTAAACAATGTATTAGTAATTTCGTGGAAATAAATATTGTAATGATTTATAGTTATGGATTACCGTAAAATGATCTAGAAATGGAAACGGAGGATATTCCGAAGGTACTGTTAGTATCCCAAATTCAAGTTCAGGAAATACTTCAAAAGCTGCTAATAGAAAATCGAATCCTAATCGTGGATCCATGTCATCTCGCAAAGCAAATAATTCTATGACAAATGCGTTCGGTTTTCCAGCAAAACGGGGCAATCGGGTAGATGACGGCCGTCGGGTGTAAAGTTCAGCTGTGGAACGAGGAAATTTTAAAATAATATAATGAATGAATCTATAAATATAATAAAACTCAAGAATATTTTCGGGAATAACCAAAAAAATCCAGTTCACCCATTGTTGCTTGCATTAACCGCTTTATTTTTAATTATTGTACCTTGAAATCCACTGATTATATTTCTATGAAATAAAAATGGATAGATTTTGTAACTATTCCTCTACGGAATGAAGTAAAAATAGTTTTAAAACTATTGTTCATTTTTTCACAATAAATTATTTTCTAAAAAATCAACTTACTTAGTTGGGCTTAGTTGTACCTAATGTTCGAGCAACTCGGAGTTAGTTCTTTCTCAATTTTGATTGTGATTCATAATTTGGGGAATATTGTAACATATTACAACTAGCCCCGTGATTTTGTTACAACTAACCTCAGGTGTGATTTTTTTACATTAATTGAAATAACTAAGAAATAAAGAAGAAATTGAAAAGTTCAGTCTGAGATACACGGATAGAATACAGAACCATCCGAACATCATGGCCAAAAACTTAATAAAAAAACATGACATTGAACGGCCTCTTTTTGATATTCTTTAGTAATCCTATAATATGTACAATTACTTGTAGACTTAATTAATATTCTCACAACACGACTACAGATGTAGATGTAGATATAAGCGCTTTTTATTTCAATCTTCATAAGACGATCAAACTGGACCATTGTCCTATTTGTGCCATCAGAAAAGTTATATATCTGGAGACGGTCCATCTAAACCATTGTCTTATTCGTATCATCAGCTAAATTATATATCTGGGGACGATCCACCTGGACCATTATCCCATTTGTATCGTCAGAAAATTTGTATTTCTGGGGACGATCAATCTGGACCATTGTCCTATTTGTGCCATCAGCAAAATCATATATCTGGCGACGATTCATCTGGCTCAATGTCCTATTTGTACGTTCAGAAAAATTATATATCTGGAACAGATCCATCTGGACTATCGTCCTGTTTATGCCATCAGAAAAGTTATATGTTTGTAGACGGTCCATCTGGACCATTGTCCTATTTGTATCATCAGAAAAATTATATATCTGCAGACGATCTACCTGGACCACTTATAATATACATTCATGCATATAAAATTACAAAATATATATTTCATGCAATTTACTTGCTTATTTTCAATCAGACTTAGAAGTACTAAAGGCACTAGGCACTAGGATCATTATATTTAGGATAAATTGTCATAAATTTCTGGTCATTATCATCTAGTCATACACATGTAGATAGTATTTTATAATGAAGATTAGATGATAAATAAATTCATTTATTTATCATCTAGTCTTTATTATAAAATACTGTCTTACATGTGTAGTATTCTATCCGGTATTTACTTTTATGAGCAATAAAGTATATTGTTAGCTTGTTTTTTATTTTAAATTTGCTATTGGCTTTGAGTAATTTTTGTGACTTTTAGCCTAATGCTTTAAAGAATGCCGAATAAAATTATAAGTTAAAAGTAAAAATATACCATCACTATCGACGTCCATTCCAGAGAAAAATTTACGTAAAGACGGGGCTACTGATGTTGGTGTTCTGGGCACGTGCGAAAGCATATTAATACTATAACCGTGGTAGTCTTCTGGGGTCATAAATGATAAGCTATCAAAACTTGGTCTGTAAACAAGACATTGATCTTGTCAGTACGTAAAATGGAATAATAATTAAATTTACACGGGATTAAATCAAAAGTAACTTTAACAAATTATATGGTTTGCCGGGAACGGGAATGAACAATTTTGGTAAATAAATTGTCTTCAATATGTTGAAATATGGCACAAGTGAACTAAAAAATTTGGAACAAAATTGATTTTATTAAATAGTACTTTTACTCTGGTGATACTAATTAATTATATAAAATATTAATTATATCAATCTGTTAGATAATTACCCACTGGTAGTTTGCTCTTCGCCAAATTCAGCCACAAACTCATCGCATACCATTTCTTCTCCAAGACAATGTTTTCTATATCGATTTCTAATCTATATAAAACATAAATGAACTAACATTAGTTATTTTTTTTTACACTATTTTGTGAATTATTTCACTTACCGGTTTGGATTCATTTTTGCCACTGGTTATGGATTTATTTGACTGTGTATTGCTAGATTTTCTTGAAAGGGGTGCACTATCCATAGAAGTCGTCATCAAAGTAGCGCTACTACAAAATTAGTATGAGGAAAAAAATATATATAATTTCTCCAGTGCATAGACTACATATTCAATATATCAACATTATTTTTTTCATATTTTACCATATATTTTATATTTTTATATATATTTTTGGTGAATTTGTTTTAATAGACCAAATTGGACCAGTCACACCATTTCAAGACTATTGTGATCAACTTGTAAAATATAATAAATATTAAAAATGTAAAAAAACTTTATATGCCATATGCTTACCATCTATATGAGATGAATGGAGTGTTGGTGCATCTATTATTCACGTGAGGCTTTTAGGGATAAGGGTTTGACAAAAAATTATGAAACATCACGTGGGAGAGGAAGGGGTCTAGTAAGATATCATGTGTATCTGTGTTTTGACTGAATTTAACAAAAAAATTCAAAAATTTTCAAAAAGAATCTAACATTTTAATATCACGACGTATCACCAAGGAGGAGAGGGGGTCCAAAAATCCCTAGAAAATCGATTACATGATTAATGGACGCCCTTTGTCTATCTTTTATATCGCTTTCTACATTAAAGCTGGTGTCCTGACTAAATTATAATCTGAAATAACTGATTTCTTATAATTTTATATAACTTACTTATCTTCTGAAGGTGTTTTAGTAATATTACTTCCATGTACTTCTTCATCTCCTGACACATAATCATTGGTATCATTTTCATCTGAGCTTCTTGGCAATTTACGGAGACCATTGAATGGAACCAACTCGAAACTTTCATTTAAAATATCGTAATCCAATTCTGGGTTGAGACAGATTACTCCTACGGCGCGATCATTTTTCTGAATTAAAAATATTGAAATTTAATATAATATACTTATATATATATTTATATACATATTTATTTATTTTATTATTGTTATTCAATAGAGCATCTTCTATAGGCAATAGCTTGTTGTTCCAACTTTGTTGTTTCTGTTGTGGAGTCAGTATGTGTTTAGCTCAGTTAAGCCAGTTATAGCTGAACAAATTTATATTTGATAAGTTAAGTTTGTCTTTTTCGTTATTTGCTGTTTTTTGATATTTTATCCGGGGTAGTAAACATGCCGGCGTCAATATTGATAATCAAGAAAAATCATATTTTGGATATTCAAAATTAACCCCCTCCCTCTCCAAGCAAACATCACGTGTATTTTTAGTTACGAGAAAAAATTGTATTTTTTTTTAATTTTCGAAAATATCAGGAAAAAATAAATACACGTGATATCTTACTATAACCCTCCATCTCTCACGTGATATTTCGTGATTTTTGGTAAACCTTCCTCCCTCTAAAAACCTCACGTGATTAATGGACGACCCCAAATGGCATTTTAAAGACCTTCCTCCCGTCCTGGATTTTCATAACTAAAAATTGCCATCCCGGTTTTGACTTAAAAAAAAAATGACCTTCTTAATAAAGAGCAAATTATAAAATTAATGTAAAGGCACAGTTTAAATTCGAAAGCCTCTATTCCAATATTGGCCAATATATCAATACAACTATTTGCATTTTACATTTAATTTTTTTAAATTTTATGTGATCATATTTTACCTCTGCAACGATTAGTCTCCTGGATATCTGATCAGCTGCCGCAACCAACTCAGCTATGTAATAATCTCCATAAGTTTCTCGAAGAAGTGGACATTGTGCATCTAAGATTGGCACTATGTCATCATTATCTTCTTCCCTTATAAAAGAATCATTTGGGAATGTATATTATAATTTTATAAATTTGAGCTAAAAAAATAGATTTAGTTCGTATTTTGTTATCTAAGAAGATATTAACTTTACAAAAGAACGTCTTTCAAGTCATCTGCATAATTTGCTTTGAAAGGATGGACTATTGAAATCGTCATTTTTTTAAATTTCTTATAACAAATGTGAATCTTTGGTTCAATGAGGTTATTTGCTGTTAGGTACACATGACTACTCTATTAGGGAATTTCCTTATATAAATATATTGTTTGCCAATTTATTAGATCTGGGAAAACAACTATTGAGTTGTTTTTCCAACAGGCCCCTTTAGTATACAATGTCCCTTTACTGGCGACTATCGTAAAATCCATAAATTCATTAAATGTCATTAACTGAACAGTTGTAAATAAAAGAAATAATAAAAAAAATATTAGATTTGCGGCCACTTTCTTTTCAGTATTCTGATGGGAATTTGAAGTCGTCGTAATTTAAGATAGTTTTATTTATAGTTGTTTCGACAGTTGTTATTTGAACACACTGAGATGTAGCTGATGATATCTACAATTTTATTGAGATTTACCATTCCCTAGTTTGTGCAAATAATGTCAAAATTAAAAAAACACATAGGAAGCCAGAAAAATTAAAATGACACTGAACGGTTTTATTTACACAGGGAGAAATAAGTGGATTAACGAACATCCACCAAATAAATAGAATCTGTTTTGCCCTCAATCAGTTAAATTAGTTCTTACATTCCTCTTCTGATTTTCAATCTGGGCACATGTGATTCTCTCAAACAAATGTAAATTGTTTGCACTTTGTCGAAATCAGTATATCCTTCAGGTAGCAATCGGGTGAAGTATTCGTCCAACAGTGTATCACCAGGAAAAAAACCTGATCGACAATAGTAACTTTAATTTTATCAATGTACAATAATAATGCTGTTACATGGCTGTTACTAAATAGCAAACAAAATTGCTACCCCATATTTATTTAATTTTATCTATATATTTATGATTTAATTCATGCCTTACTTGAACAGTTGCCTGGTGGTGATACAATGATTATGTGATTGGTAGTTAAGTTATGAAGAAATATGGATTCGATCAAAAACTTCATAAAATCATTATTGTATCTTGAGTCCCAAACTAGATAGTTGATGAATAACGTATTCCACACAGTAACTTCATGCAATCTTAAAATTTATTACAAATTTAAGAAAACCTAAGTGAAAAGTTATAGCAAAATTATCTAGAAATAAATCAGTAGATATTTATTTATTTTTAATATGCTTTTGAACAAAATTTTAATTATTTTATATATTTACTGATATTTTGATTTCATCCAATCTTCCCACCAGCATTTGGATAAAGCAGGAATATTTGGAAAATCGTACAATGCTAAACTTGCAATAATTTCTTGTTCTTCGTTGAATAAGCTTATGCAACTGTAAGCCTTTTCTCTACAAAATAAACTTGTATTAAAATATTTAAATATTTTAAAGGCATATATTTATGTATAATAGCCAACTATTTAGAAAGGACGACAAATGCGTTGCCTTCTAATAGAATTCAGAAGAAAAATTGTGAGTGAAGTCAAATATTGAGTTGTCTTTTAATAGTGTATATAATAAAACCAAAAGTACAGTTTATATCAGCTTATAAAGCAAATGATTATGCTCGTTGTTCAATTAAATAAAAAAAATATATTGATTACATTTGAAGAATAATACAATTCATAAATAAAAGGTGAAATTTGTTGTTTTTTATTCGAATTTACTGTTTCGAATATATACAAAAAATTGGCATATGCTGCCAATTTATTTTGAAATTTATCAAAATTAGAACTTAGCATCAAGCATATTACTGACGCTAGACCAATATGAGTGATATTTTTCCTATTTATTTGCAAACTTCGTTTATTATCTTAAATATTTATACTATTTTGAAATGAAAAAGAAATCTAACATATGAATATGTACATCTTCAGCACCAAACATTGCAAATGTACCAGGAACTTCCAAAGCCTTGATCCTTGGAGCATCCTGGTGTTCAGATTGTCTCCATTTAGATACTGGTGGCAATTCTAGTACGCCAAGATCCAAATGCATAGGAGCTTCAAACAACAATTACATTCAATAATGTAAATATTTTTTGCACATTTTAAAATAAAGTTTTTCAATTTTCAACCTGCTGCACTTTTCACTCGGCAAGCTTCTTTTATAATCAATTCGGATTTTCTTACTGGCAATGGTGAATTTCGAATGCACAGCCCAAAATTATCAAAAGTGCAGCGCATCATTTTGAAAGATATTAAATTTCTAAGATATTAAATCGGAGTTTTATTATAATTGTTTGAATAATAGTACTATTCAAAACTGAGTTGTCATAAAAAATAATTTATAAAAACAAGTATTTATATAAAAATAATTATTGACATTATTTTCATTTGTTTATGTATTTATTTAATAGATTGGAGCAGGTTTTTGCGCCGTCAGTATATATACAGGAAAATGGAATAATTATTTAGATTTATCTATATATGATGTATTATTTTTTCGACAGATTAATATACTTTTTATTTTTCTTCCTTTTTGAATAATAATCAGAACTTAGCCATATATTGTGTTGATTCTTTTTTTCAATAATATGACTTTTTAGAAGGCAACCCAATGGTTATCCTCTTGGGTATCACTACTGTGTGATATTAGGTTGTCGGATATTCAAACATAGGTTTCAAATAATTTTCTAACCAAACGTTGATTTGTACAGAAATAAAAAATTAAGACTTAATAGTCAACTATGAATGATTTTCCATTGCATTATATATTTTGCACGAGCATATATTGAAGCAAAAATATTTATTTATATTTCTTTGTTTGTATTTAAAGATAGTTGCTTTAAACTAAACTATTTATATTAAGAAATTTGTCACAAGTTAAAATATTTTTTATATTTATTAAGCTTTAAAATATTAATCACATTAGAAAAGTCGGATTCAAAAACTGTTCGAAAGATTTCAGTTGCAAATTGTGCCATTTTGGTAAATATGTAATTAATTTCTTGAATTTTTTTAACTTTCCATAGGGTAAGTTATTTTAATCGTCCAAAAAATTGAAAATCTGTGCAAATCTTCGTTTTGATGGTTTCTGAACATTTTGGCATACCTTATAATTAATATAAATGAGTGTGTGTGTTTTCTGTATCCGCAATTTTTGTCCGCGTTTTCGGGCGCCCGGATCAACCAATTCGAATGATTAAAAAAACACTCGATTCCTATTGATGTGCTGATTAGTTTTTGGCAAAGGTAGGTCCAGTGGTTTTGGAGATACGGAAAAAATAGAAATCGAGTTCTTGAGAGAACGGAGTCATCTGGTTTTTATGATCCAAAAAGCATTCAATTCGTAATGATGAGGAGAAGTCGTGATTAATTTTTGGCAAAGACAGGTCCATTCATTTCGGAGATACGGAGCTAAATATGCAAAAAATAGCTGTTTGAGAGAGTTAAGCATCCGATTTGAAAGATTCAAACAAATGTCTGCATGTGTTGATGAAACGAATCCTTTTGGGATTTTTTTTTATTTAAAAGTTTTAAAATTTTTTGTTCCAAAAAAATTTTTTTTGTATGTCGAAAATAATTCGGATTTTTATTTTAATTCTCGCTAAGGTTCTAAAGCTTATTTAAATATTTTAAATAAATAATTTTAACTTTGCAATTCAATTTTTAAATATTGGACAATATTACAGTATTTATAATAATCTATTTGAAAACATTTAAAATTTCTCGAACATTTAGTTACGGTACGGGAAGTTCCAGCAATTTTCCTTAAGTCACGATGTCATACACCACTAGTTATTAACTTCCCGTAGGGTAAGTTATAGTAATCGCAAAATTTGAATAATTCAAAAAACATTCGATTCGTATTGATATGGATACGTGCTGATTAGTTGTTGGCGGAAGCAGGTCTAGCCGTTTCGAAGATACGAGGCAAAAAGCGCCAGTTTTTAAGAGAACGGAGCGTTCGATTTTACTTGTATTGACAAGGTGAAAAATTGATCAAATTTTCATGAAGGTAGGTTTAGCGGCTTTGGAGAGCTTAGTGAAAATAGTAAAAAAAATGCTATCTAGCGGTAAAAAATGATCATTAGACATATGCACATCAAATTATCAGATATTTTATAGAGATTTTAACAATAAGTATAAATTTTGTTTATATTTCTATGGTTTCCGTACCAATGTTTATCAGATATACGGCGACGCGCGCTTCGATATTTCGTCTCTATACAGTTAAAGCAGTATGGTTGCTTTGAAAAAAAGTTCAAAAATACCAAAATATTTCAAACTAAAGAATACATTTTTTTCAAAGTCTAAAAAAAAGTTAATTTTTTGTCAAAAATGTATAGTTTTTCAAAAATCTAATTTTTTCAAAGTCAATTTTTTTCAAAAATGTTAATCTTTAAAAAAAAAAGTAATTTTTGGTACGGGAAATTCCAGCAATTTGCCATATGCCGCACTAGTTTTGATGATTTTTTTGAAACTTTGTATAGTTCTAGAATTCTTGATCAAATATTCAGATCTACGAAAAGTTTATTTTTTCACTATTGTAATAGATAGGATAAAATTACATATACTCAGGTAACATTTAAAAGAAGAAATCGTATATTTATGTAATAGGTTTAATTTCTAACAAGATATTTTATAACATTATATTTACAATAGCATTATGCGTAATAATATTTCACAATCAAGATTTTTTTAAACCTTATATGATTTGAGCAAATTAAAAGTATTCACAATACAATTGATAATTCATTTGATATTCATAAGAACTCTTGCTCAAAACACGAATATACAAGAAGACCATTTTGTTGTAAGATGCAATTTTATAAATTCGGTATTTATCTAATTCATAATGTATCAGCTTACACATTTATCATAAAATTTCAAAAGTTCATAACTAGATATGTAATGTTTTTGTAGCACAACAATATGATATATATATAATGAAGGAAACGCATTTTCCTGGAAAGATAACCAACTGGTCTAGTATTCAATATAATATTCTACACATTATTCCAATATATGTAGCTTAAGAGCACTTAGAACATCAAATTATAAATGGAATGTTAGAAATTTTGTGAACATTTTCAAAAATATCATACGACGTGGGCAAATTTTTCAATTCGAATTAGATACCAATCAATATTCTACCTACTAGTAATGTTGTGATTTTTTTTATAAATGAATTAAATGGAAAATCGAAATCAAATATAATCTAAACCAATAAAACATAAAAAGACATGGGGTAAAATTTGCAGATTGGGAGCCAATTATCTGGTAAAATGGACCATAATATAGCGTTGTCATAGCAACCCTATGTTATGCTTTTTTCTTGGTACTAAAAACTGTGATTTGAAAAATTACTGATTGCACATCAAATACATAGCATTTTCACAGTTTTTAGTACCAAGGGAAAAGCACAACATAGGGTTGCCATGACAACGCTATGTTATGGTCTATTTTACCGAAGAATTGGCTTCTAGATTTGACTTTAATAAAACAAAAGAAAATTAGTGAATATTAGAATAAACTGTATACTACACAAAAACCATCAAGATACTCCAGTTCATGGAGCGTTTTGGGTCTGAATTATTTTACTGTGCTCCGTTTTACTTTGCATAAAATTTTGGAACTAGGTTCATCTTACCCTCAAGTTCAAAAGTGAAAACAATTTCGACTTACATTAAATTTATTTACTATATATTAAAATTTATTTTCAGGTGTTTTTTCAACTCAATGGTTGTTCGCAAGGGTTGTAGGGTTTTCAATGGATTGCAAATGATTTTATTGTAAGGTAAATGTATAAGAAAATACTTTACAATTTTACCCTTTAATATTAAACACGTTTTCCAGCGATTAAATTGCTCAATGTCAATTTATACATAACTTAATATTTTGAACTTAAGGGTAAGATTTGTCTGTTTTAATTGTTTTTGTCAAATATTTTAATAAATTTTTTTGTCAAATATTTTAATAATTTGAAAAAATCAGAGGGCACCCTCTTTTTCTCTTCATTTACTGCACTGATTACACTTCTCTATATTTTTTTATTTTAAATAATTGCAATAAAATTATTAGTAGTTTTTAGAAACATTAATTGATCAAAGTGGAATAATAATTATATCAAATAATATAAAATGTTAAACATGTTAGAATGAATGAAAATACGTTTGTAGTTAAGATGTTGGTAAATAGTTTGCTTTGATATTCAAATAATTCTGATAAATTAAAAATTATGGAAGTCAAAGAAAAATATATTGTATTACGAAAAATACTGCAACATAGAAAATTACTTCATACTTCTTGAATTTAAACTATACCACCAAGATCATTAATAATTTTTGAAAACATTAATGGACCAATGTTGGATAAATCAAACTATATTTCAAACTAGATGACCCGACAGACGTTGACTTGAAATTCTGTTTACAATTCAAAAGTTCCAATTTTTTTTAATAACCTACACTGATATTTACCAATTAGTTAAAAATTATTATGTTTTTTTTACACTACAGTCTTTACCGAAATGTATATACATCCACCCATATGGATGTTAAATATACAACTGCTTCAAATAAAATGATGAGTATTTGCTTTTTGGAAAAACATTATAAAACATTTTTTTCTTATAGTTATTTTATCGATATCGATTGAAAAAAAAATGAAATTACACCACTGAGAGAGAGGTCATCCCCCAGGAAAATGGTAAAGGGGTCTAAATTATTTTCACTTTTGAACTTGAGAGTAAGATAAACCTAATTTCAAAATGGTATGCGAATTGGAGCACAGTAAAAAAATTCAGACCCAAAACGCTCCATTGACTTGAGTAAATATTCCGTATCCGATGGCACAAATATGAAAATACTAGCGTTTTTATGTGAAAAAGAAAGAAAGGCTGTTTTTAGAGTTTTCCCGGCAATTATTCGATTTTTTCTCGCCGTAAGAACCATTCTTGGATTTCAACGAACATTTTAAAAAAAGAATTGGCCAAATTAGTCCAGGTGTTGTTGTGTTATACGCTTACCAACACATTTTGCGATTCATTTTTATATTATAGATGTGTTATTGTTACTTAAAAATTTAGTTAAAATTAATAATTTTACACTTCAATAATCACAACATTACTATTAAGTACAAAACATTTTAGTCGTTCCTTAAATTTTACTTATCCTTAATCTCCCAAGTAACTAAAATTTTAAATTTAACTTTCTTGTATAAATACTGCATATCTATATTATCCC